ATGAAACTGCCGCGGTTAGGTCAAGCATCGTCTTTCCTCCCTCCCTCCCGCGGGTGGACACGTCATATTACTTTAAACCAATTACAGCTAGCAGTGGAGGGAGGTAGGGATGCATGGCCAATCACAGTCCAATACGTCATATGACGTCACTGATAACGCAACAGAGGCATGCACTGCGCGGCTTGCCCAGGCGGAGGCGGGAGCAGGCGGGAGGGGCGAATCTAAAAATAGCGTCAAGCCAGACACTCTGCGCATATATGGGTAGATGAACCGCGGAAAGTGAAAGTTCGGTTCTGGCGAGGCACCGCGTAAATGAGAAATCGCGGAAAGTGAAACCGCGTAAAGCGGGGTAATACTGTACATGACATTTTCAACTTTTACATACATTTGGAGAACGTGTGTCGTTTATATGAAAGAGCACATATAAAACTATTTATATGCCAACTTTGACGCTTTGTTTATATTTTAAATATTTTGGACACTATCGACCACACTACTATAACCTAAAATTGGTAAGGAAAATTTTTAAGTCCATATTAAACATTTTCAAAACTGATCAGACATAAATATGACTTAAATACAAGTTCATAGTATTTACAGACTAACCATATAATATTTATTAAACATCAGTAATGAATTAAATATTCACCCATCCATATTCCATTCAAGATCAGCTCCACTTGTACAGGTACTTTATCTACATCACAATGATAGTTTTTATACTAAGCTTCAAGATATGCAACAGGTACAAGGTACTGTACTGTACAGTACAGTATTGTGACAATGTAAACAAGTGCCTTATTTTATCTTTATTAGAAACCTTTGTTCTATGCCCATACCAAGGGCTCTGGTAGACTTTTCCCTCTGATTAATTCAGGCATTGCTGTAGGTTTCATCCATATAATAATAATAATTAACAGTTTATTGAAAGAGCGTGGCAGCCAGAAGGCTGAAAATATACAGTTACATAATTGGGGAATGTATCACTTGATTGACAAATAATATACAGGTAACATAAGTGATACAAATAAGATATTTAATAACAAGGTGAGAAGGTCATACTACAGGGTATTTCAACATAGTGACAGTGCAAAATATAAGATTGGCAAGGAGTGAACACACTGGTTGACTATGAGTGGTTGATAATTTTTACAATGGTTGGGATTGGGCTGTTCTTCTAGCGATCAGTACAGTACTGGCAGATGTGCATACAGTCAAGAATTCTATGATTCACACATACCAACTGCTTTACCTTAACAAGGGGAGTAGATAAGGACTCCATTATTAAAAAAAAAAAAATCACTTGCATATACTGTATTGCAATGCAGTCATACATACAAATGTAACTTCAGCACACACACATGTATTCTTATACAAGAACTGTACAATTATAGTACAGTACTGTATAAGTCTGAAGGATGTTACATAATTCCTACCACTGATAATCTCAACTTTATTTTAAAATGACTTATGTGCATAAGTAGTACATTCATTTGATTCATTGCTCTTAAAGTTCAATGCTATGAAAACATTAATTATTTTTTACAACCTTAATACAGGTATACTGCACTGTAAAAGGTGAATCTGTACAATTACTTGTGGCAGCAAGCTATAATGCCCTGTCAGGCAAGTACAAATTGCTGCCAAGCATCAAGTTTCTTGTCCAATGATCCAGGGTTAGCTGAGCAGAGCTTCAATCCCAATCCAGTAGTTGATCCAAAACTTAGCCAATTAATAAGTCACCTGATCTGAACCGTAGAGCCAGTTTACTCTCGCCTAAAAAGTAAAATCAGTCGTACAATGGGGCTTGAAGCCTTGAGCAACTTTCTTATTTTCTCAATAACACAAGATTAACATATGATGCTTGCACTATTCTGAAGCCCTTGTGGATCCATCAAAGAATACAGTGATGTATTGTGCCATTTTGTGATCATAATGTATTTTTTTGTACGTATATGTACAGTATGTGGTAATATTTCATTAAATATGGCTCAAGTGGTTACCTGATAGTGTGTCTGTTATAAGATTGACAATTTCTGATTCAAGTAGGTGGGTAGTCTTGGATTACCTTAGGGAGTTGCAACCTAGCTTGCCAGATGTTCACACCCTGTAGGTTGGCATTAGGAAGGGCCCCAAACTGTAAAACTTTGCTTCAAAATGCTTGAGGTAATCATAGCTAACCCACACAAGTGTGGAAAACAGCTGTTAAACGTTGATGATGAATGCACTGCGAGATGTCACGGGTTCGAGGAAATTGTTTGGACACTATTCCTAGTTCCCTTGGTCCCCGTTCACCTAGCAGCAAAGTAGGTACCTGCTGTAAATCGGAAGTTGCGAATTCGTATTCAGGGACAAGTTGTTGGAGCTTCCAATAACTTGCTTAGACATAAACCATTAACTCTTCAGGCTTCTACGCCCTTAACTCATGAGACATAAGGCAAGCATGAACTTAGCATGCTTCCCTGTTGGGTGCTGTAAACGCTTCACCTTACACAAGGATGTGTGGGTGCCCAATAAATGAAAAAAAATAATGCAATGCGAAGCAACCAGAACGTCAGTTAGACCTCTCAATTTTATTACCAACAACTATTTTGACCCTGGGCAAGTGAAGCAGATGTGCTTGTCTTGGTTAAATAAGACCACATTGTGTTTGTGTGAGTTTAGTGTGAGGGATTGATTATTTCTAGAAGATACAGACTAAAAATTTTCACTCCATTTCTTTGGAAAGAACTTAGCACTGTCTTTGTTTTGGAGAATGGCACTTAAGTAAATGGAACTTAGAAACTTTTATAACTAGTGTCACAAGGGTCAACCAAACAAGCTTCATTGTTATTTCTATGGCTATGTGAGAGGACCTAATCCCATTAGTGTGACATAACTTCCTAATTATAATTAGTACTTTACATCCTTATTATACAGTATTATCTTTCCTTGCAGTCATTAGTCTTTTCCTTACTTTTGGCACTGGTAATTTCTTGAAAAGCTAGAAACAATTGAATTGAAACTTCTTCATATTGAATTTGCTGTTTGTGGACTTTGATTGGGGTTGAAATTTTGCTTTGCTAGTTCCAACTTGCTATATGAGTACAGTAGATGCTTGTCAGGTTGTTGTAGTGATCTGACAGAAGAGTGTGGCCAGTCACTCTAAAATGCATCAAGCTACCCTGGAGGGCAGTTTCTGTTATAGGGTATTCTAATGGAGGATCTCACAGGTCATTTTTCTCTTTCACGGTCATAAAATAGGATTTCATACTTCAGTCCTTCCTTTTTTTCATATAGAAAAAATAGCACTTTTCCCACTTGTAATTAGCTACAATCTACAGGGAGTTTCATTAGTTTTGAGATTCCCAAGTACAGGTTGACAACCCTTTATCCAAAATTCCGAAAGTTTTTTGTAGGGCACATTATTTATTTATTTTTTTATTTTTGCAGGGATTATTAGCCCAGCCAGGCACAGATCACTGACCCACATCGGGGCCTGGGGGGCAAAAATGTAATAGTAATAATAATTATAATAATAATAATTATTCATAGTAAATAATATCTTTAATAATTATACACCAAAATAAAATAATAATGATTACAATAATAATAATAATTATAATAATAAAATATAATAATAAAATTAATAATAATAATAACAATAATACTGTAACAATAAAATAATAATACAGTAAAGAAATACAAGAATGAAAAAAAGATCAAAAGTGAGAAACACGACCTAGACCTATGAATTATTATTATTATTATTATAATTTTTATTATATTTTAGACCCCCAGGCCCCAATGTGGGTCAGTGATCTATGCCCGGGTGGGCTAATACACATAAAAAAAAAAAAAAACCCTAACCATTCTGAAAACCAAAAAATTCCGAAAACCGAAATGCCTCTGGCCCCAAGGATTTCGGATAAAGGATTGTCAACCTGTATTGTCAAGTAAATAAAACATTACACTTACCGGTATCAATGAAATAAGACATTTATACAGTACATGTATAAAATATGAATGATGTAACTACCAAGATATTTGTGTTTATTACATTCTGATTTCCTTAAAATACTGTACAGTATTTATTAAATAGTCTTTGGATCTGTACTGGACGTTTTTGTGTGGAAAACCTAATTTCATTGTTTTTATATTACGGTACCTGCTGAGTTACCTTGATTCACTATTTTACAGTTAGCAGCTCTGAATAATATTACAGGTATTACAAATTAAATTTCATGATTTTTTATTTACACCAGAGTATATCCATATGCTTGAGCCCCAACAAAAATTTTAAATAATTATACAGTAATGAGGAAATTTCATAATGATCACTAGAAATTCTAATATTATAGTTGAATCACCTAAAGGATCTCTACTCTCAGCTTATTTCACCTTACGGTTACCCACCCTAACTTAACATAACCTAATCTACCCTAACCTCCCAAGTAGTGTGAAGGTGCTTTATCATGAGATGAAATAAGCTAGGGATAATCTTCAGGTGATCCCAACATAATTGCATGCAAAAATTAGACTACATTTCTTTGGTGATTGGTATTCTGTACCTGTTACATTATGTACACAAACCCCTGAAAATTCCCTGATAAATTTAAAGTCACATACATTATATTTGTATTTCAAAATCAAAATGTTGAAGTACAGTACAGTAATTAATCAATCTAATTAATATTATGCAATAAGCAACACATTTGTGCAATTTTGATTAATTTTAATTATTCAGCCTATTGTGTGGTGACTATACTCAGGATAAGGTTAGAGATTTATTGTGTGATTATGCTCTAATTATTCATGTGCTCTCTGAGAGAGAGAGAGAGAGAGAGAGTAGTAGTGTGTAATAATAATAATAATAATAATAATAATAATAATAATAATAATAATAATAATAATAATAAACGGTTTATTAATAGAGGTGCAGCCGGTGGCTGAAAATATACAGACTTACATTTGATTTAGACATAATGATATAATATGCACTGAATACATTTACAGGGCTGTACAGTACATAAATCAGTTGTTTATTATTTTAACAATAGATGGGATGGTGCTGTTCTTATATCTATCGGTGTGTGTGTGTGTATTCATGTAAGCTTTAAAGAGAGCTTTTATCTAATTCACCCAAAAATTAAGCCATTTATTTCATTAAACCAAAACAACAAGACTTTTATTTTGTTTTTTTTTACAAAATTGAGAATACTAGCCCATTAAAAAAAATGTAGTCTTACCTCCTGTAGCATGTAGTACTTTAAGTACAATTTAAAAAAAATGTATTTGAAAAATTTCTATGCTGAGAAACATAATTACTGTACAGTACTGTATACAGTACAGTACTATATATAAACGAGGCAATGATTCATAACTAAGAAACACAGAGAGAAGTATATTGATAATGAGGGATAGAAAATGAGAAATGGATCATATTGAACAAGAAACTGAGGTCCTGGAAAATAGAAGTGCAATAAGTGCAGTACAGTATACGGCAACACCTAGACATGTTTTCCACGTAAAACTTTCAAACCAGAAAAAATATTGCCGAAGACATTCAACATTTCCATTCTGGTCCTCACACTGAACGATGAGTATTTTTGGTACAATATTACACATTAACATTTTCATGGCCTTTCGATGCAGATCAAGTTGCTCAGTGCTCTTGGGCTGGCTCGACCCCTCCAGCTCAGCCATATCTGACACTGAGAGCATCCCTTCCCGTAAACAGAAACATGGGAACAGTGGACAGGTCCTACAGGTATCAACCACCAAGTTCTTCCCACTAGCCTTGTGAGCTTGCAGATGCATCTCTAAGGGTGCAATTTGGGTCTGCATCACTCTACCCAATGTTTACTAAAATAGAAAAACTGTTCATGTTATTGACGCAATCTGTGTCGAAAGAATGCGAGTGGGTTAGATTGTAGATGGCGCTAATTGTGTCAAAAGGCCAAGAGGGGTTAAGATTTCTGACCATGGACAGGGGTACCAGAAGGTTAACGTGTTAAAATATACATTAATACTGTACAACATCCTGTATGTGCCGATTCTAAAAGTTGAAGTAATACACCATGACAATATTTTTTAAGTAAGAGATCTTGTTATTAGGGGTTTTGTACAAGCTTACAAAATTCCTAAATATACTGTAACTCATATCACTATTGGATATGATAGTTCAGCTATCACAGCACTAACTTGTATTCAGTGACTGCCATATTTCACAATTTGATGGAAGTTTTCTTCAATGTTGCACATACAGTTATTGATAGTTTAAAGCTATCACATGTTCATTTATTTACAAATGATTATTTTATATACCTGTATTTTATTTCTAAAAAATATTAAAAAGTATCTTTGGTCTCATTTAACTATTTATTACACTTCCTGTAACCTGTGGATAACAGCTGTTGTGAATTTTTATGGGGCATAACTCAAAGAGGAAACAAATGGTAAATTACTATTTTGAGAGCTCACTCAATACTGTACTGTAAGAAGGACCTATAACTTAGAAGTACTGTAATCCTACTTGGTCTATGAGATACCCCAAGAGCTGCAAATTGATTGAGAATGTCCAAAGGAGGGCTAACAAACTGGTGCCAGCACCCAGACACCTCATTTACCAAGAGAGTAGAAAGTCTGGCACATGTTCTGGTACATTCAAGAGCATGTACAGTACATCCCAATGGTGCGTAGTAAACTTATAAGTGGGAGAAATAAAAATCATGATATTTCTAAAAGCCAAAAGCCAAGGATTAGTGTAATAATCGTGATTTTTTTTCTCCACAGTATAATATAGTGTTTTTCCATATGAATGATGAGAAACAGTGAGTTATTGGTATAATTTCTTCAAGACTGACTTTTTATTAAGAACTTTATGCCTTGGGAGCTGGATTTTAATTCCAAGTCCAGTACAAAACCATGAATCTTGTCTACAAGCTAAATTAACTTTTGAAAGTACAGTACTGTAATGTAATTCTCTGGCATATAATGTACCATGTAGTATATAACTGCAGAAAGGGTAGGTTTACTGTACAGTATATTGGAAGGAATAGTGTATGTACAGTGAACTGATATTTTAAGAAGACGTTGTTAGTCTGTTGTTGTTAAGACAATATGAAAATACTGATTCTTACAACAATAATTTTTTTTTTGTAAAAGGGAGCATGGATGATACATATGATCATGAAGCGGTTCAAACATGTGGTCTGAAAATGGTTGTAACAGTGAATCTAGGATGCCTCATTATAAAAATACCACAGCGTGTTATAAAAACTGGTGTGTGTATGAACAGTGTCAACTGAAGTCATGCCTTGAGTAACATGGTCCAACATCCATGATTATTGTGGAATGTTGCTGATATGATGATTGTAAACACTTAATTTATTCTTATCAGAAAACTGATAAATTGGAAGACTAGAGACAATTGGAAGACTATCCGGGTAGATACTATACTGACAGGTGGGCCCATCATGGTAATGTGGAAACCACGAGTATCCACAACTAAACCTAGATATGGAAGACTCATGGATGTTACTACACAATATGAAGATATTCCAGGGGGATTTAAGTAGCAGGGAGCTGGGTAGGGTAGGGAGGACAACGCTTGCCGAGTGCCAAGTCAGGGTAGTCATGGTGCCTGGGAGGGATGGCAGAGGCCGAAGGAGGTCCTCGAAGTGAGGCTGCTCGTGTGGTAGCCCCTGTAGTGGAGGTGGTGGTGTTGGCAGCAGCAGCGGCAGCAGCTGCTGCTGCAGCAGCAGCTTCATGCTCAGAGGCTAAAAGCTCTGTCATGAACGAGATGTAGGTGATGGCCAGCCGTAGGGTCTCAATGCGAGAGAGACGTTTCTCATACGCAAAGGTTGGTACCTGGGAATAGATAGTGTGGGCTATACATCATGTTTATGCAAAGGTTAGAGCTTTGAAAATTATGTTTATACTCTAATTTTCCACAATGATTAACGAGTCTGATAAATGACTGTATTTAAACTAACCAAAACATACAAAGTGCAGGATATTCATTTGTACAGCTTATCAATCATTCAAATTTTTTTTATATTGAATCAATAACCCTGTTATTTAAAGGAAATCTAATCCCATGTTTTTGTGATTCTATTCTTCTTAATGTTTACCCTTACATACTGTCACAATACAACAGAACAAAAATTAAGTTGCACACCGAACTTGCTAGAATCCTGTAGTTTGATTGGGTGAACTCCTTTACAGATGAAATCAGTACTGCTTACAAACATCTTGTAAGTAATTGTACATAACAGCACACTAATGACTAGCTGTTATAACTATCCTAACAGGGCAGATATATGTTCATTAGGATCTATTTAGTCTCTTATTTGCTGGAGGTGTCACAACAATTATCTAAGTATTTTAGTTTTCATTAGTAATTTACTCCTATTTAATGTAGGGACACAAGTATTAGACAATTTAACCTTCCATACAATAATGTTCATAAATGTAAACCTTAGTGTACAGTAAACCTTTACTGATGTACATAAATTTCACTATACTTGTACCCTGTACTGTGCAGTGTTTTTGGACTTAAATTATCCATACTGTATGTGGAATTATGGAACCATTTATATCATATTCCTGTACTGTACTAGATAATGCAAGTAGAAAAAAAGGGATTTTAGATTAAAATACTGTACGTACCTCAAATTGCCTAAGGGTGACACCCATATGATTTGGATACAGCACAAAAAATATTGATCCAGAATCATAAAGTTTTTTTCTACATATAAAAGTTTCATAGGTTTTCCGTAAGTTTGGTACAGTAAACTACAAATTCAACATGTTTTATTTACTGGTACAGGCATCCCCCGTGTTACGAAAATTCGCCCTTACAGAATTTTAAAATTATAACCCAAAAATTCGGGATACGGACAAAAAAACTCGCCCTTATGGAATTTTGAAAAATTTGTAAATTAAAAAAAATCTGCAATTTTTAACCCAAATTGTAAAAAAAATATTGTATTGTATGAGTTCTCTGTGGTAGGCACAAGGCAGTTGCAGCCCCCTATATTCAGCTTTGCCTTTGTTTTCAGGACTATTACTGGGACTGTACTGTGTTTTCTTATTCAAGATGAGTGGAAAGAGGCCATCCAGTGTAAGTGCTAGCAGTGGTGGTAAGAGACTATGAAAGGATATTACACTGGAAACAAAATTAGATATGTTAAGGAGGTTTAATGAGGGGGGGAAATGACGAGTTACATCGCTAAAACATTGGGCCTTGCACCTCCACTGTCTGATCAATCCGTGACAACAAAGACAAAATTAGGGCTAGTGATAAAGTTGTTGCTCCATTAACAGCCTGTACACTATATTTTCATTGTAGTGATGTTATGATAAGTATGGAATGCTTATTGAGTGTGTGGATTGAGGACCAGACCAAGCAATATATATGCCCATTAACACCATGATAATTCAGGAAAAGGCTAAGAGTCTGTACGAAGATTAATTAAGGAACACGGTGCAAGTTCTGATGAAAAACCCTTTAATTCCAGCAAAGGGTAGTTTGGGCATTTTAAGAAATGCCTAAACTTGCACAACATTAAGATGGTATATGAATCAGCCAGTGCTGATACTGAGGCTGCAAGTAATCATTCAGCAGAACTAAAGGCAATTATTGAAGTGGATGGATACACACCACAACACGTGTACAAAGTTTAAGAAATTGGCCTGTTCTGAAAGCACATGCCTGCCAGGACATTTATTTCAAGAGAAAAGAAGACCGCTCCAAGTTTCAAGGATTCCAATGATTGTGTAATCCTTCTGTTAAAGAGGTAATGCTGCTGGAGGTTCGAAGTTGAAACTCTTGCATGTGTACCACTCAGAAAATCTAAAGGTTTTCATGGGCTAAGCCAAATCTAGGTTACTAGTGATATGCCATTCTAATAGGAATGCATGAATGACTGCCAGCCTCTTGGAAGATTGGTTCACAAACTGGTTTTGTCCAGCAGTGGAAAGGTCCAGTAACCAGAGAAATATTTCTAACTAGGCCTTGTTACTGTTAGATAATGCTCCCAGCCACCCTATTAACCTTAATGACCTTTCCAGTAATATCAAGGTTGAAAACCTGCCCAAGAATACAACAGCCTTGCTACAGCCTGTGGATCAAGGTGTGATCGCCAGCTTTAAGGCATTCTATTTATGTAAAACATTAAAAAAAAAAAAAAAATTATAGCAGAAGGTGGTGAGGATCAGCAATCAGTCCAAGATTTTTGAAGGAGATTTACATCATGAATGCTGTATAAAACACTGCCGAGTCATGGGATGAGGTCAAATATATAACTATGAATGGTGTGTGGAAGAACATCTGGCGAGAATGTATCCACGATTTCCAAGGTTTTTCCCAGGTTCAGACCTTATATGAGGTGCAACAGGAATTTGTAACTCTGGCAAATGGTGCAGGGTTCGAGAACGTGGATCAGGATGGTGTGGTTGAGTTGTTAAGTCACACAGAGAGGATCTGATGTTAATGGAACAGGAGCAAGCAGCTGGTGAGGAATAAGAGGATACCTGTAGAGAAGTTCCATCAAAAGCCCATAAATTGACCATAAAGATTTTGGCTAAATGGATTAGTCAAATGGAAGATCTGATTCAAACCTTTGAGATTAATGATCCAGATTGTGAATGCTGCCTCAAGTTTGCAAGAGGATTGGAGAACCTTAAGAGTGGCTGACTACAAGGAACTGTACACTCAAAAATTGCACCGTCAACGACAAACCACATTAGACAAGTTCGTTGCCACAAGACCACAGCCAGCAGCAAAAGATGATGATGACGATCCACAAGGAGAGGCATGAGTCAGCCGTGACCGCCTCCCTCCCAGTACAGTGAGTTCTGCTATAACGCGTGTTTTGACAACGCGAATTGGCTCTAATGCGATTTATGAATAGAGGAACGATATTTGTATAACGCGAACGCTTGTTTGCTGTAACGCGATTTTTGCTTACTATTTCTCCAATTTTGTGGTATTAACTGTGAATATGGTAAAGAAGAATATCTCCAAGAAGCGTTCTGGTGATCGCATTCCCGGTGATGATCGTAAAAGAAAGGCTATAACCCTTGAAGAGAAGCTCGATGTTATCAACCTCAAAATCACCCTTCTCCCCATTAAGTTATATTCATATTTTTTCAAGGTAAAGTGTTACATTTACTATGTGATTTCATTATTAGATATGAATGTAACATTTATTTAGACTGTGCTATCCTTTGTGTTAGGCTAACTAATAAATTTTTTTTTATTTCGAGTAGTAATCTGCACCTAACCCTATTTTCTCCATAAGCCCTGTTATTTCTATTACGCGAATTTCTATAACACGATGTTTTACAAGAACACAACTATCGCGTTATAGCAGAACTGACTGTATCTTCAATTGCACCAATTTACCTAACTCAACACTCAACATTGTATCTGATAAGTAAATTTTACTGTTTTGTGCCTATACTGTACTGTATTATCATGTTACACCATAAATAACTCATTGTAAGTGGTTATGTTTTTGGGCCTCAAAAATTTTCCGAAGGAATGCATCTCAACTTGTATAATTTAATAGGAGTCAATGGGAAAAACTGGTTTTGTGTCACGGAAATATTTTCAGGAACGGAACCCTTTCGTAACCCGGGGGATGCCTGTACAGTGAACCCTCACTTTACGCGGTCAATTGAACCCACGGCGGCCCGCGTAAAGTGAGAAACGCGTAAAGTGAACAACACAACATATGGGATTAATTGAAATAGAGACCAGGCCGACCCCCAAACTCCACTTTTTCAGACACAATACCTACGTTGTAGTAAAAATAACTTATTAATTTTATGATGGTATGCACACACAATTAATAATTAAGAGAAATATCAATAATATTAGGTTTTTTAACACTTCCATTAGTAGAAAAGATGGCTGGGCACACGGGGATGGGGGGTTGGTTCCGAGGCAGAGGGCAGATTATTGGCCCTCACCTGTATCACTTGTATCACTATCCACCACAGAGGCTTGCAGGGCCTCTTTGTCAAACCCCTCAAAGTCCATATAAGTCCATATCCTCACTATCACTGACTTGGGCCGGCTGTGGTGGGTGGCGGGTGAAGAACTCGGTAATGTTTTGATGACTGGGTGACCTTGTGCGCACCCTGCTCACGCCGCTCTCCGCGTAAAAGGGTACACACACCGCGGAAAGTGAGCATTCCGTGTTCGGCAGGGTACCGCGTAAACGTGGAAACACGTAAAGTGGAACCGCGTAAAGCGAGGGTTGACTGTAATCATTTTTACCAGTCCTGTACTACTGTATCTGTACAATACAGTACCTGTACTTCATTTTTTTTTTTTTTTTTTAATCCAGATATCCTCAGAATAATCAAAGGTTCATCAGCCTTATTTACTTTTTTTCCCACTTATTGCACTAGCCAATTTAGCAATCTTACCATACTACTGTACAGTATTAACTAACCAACATATTGTACTATGCAGTACAGGGTATTTGATATTTTTTGACAATAGGCAAAATCAGAGGCAGATCCAGCCACCCCCCCCTCCCCGGGGAGGAGGGGGGTTCCCAATGCCCTTTCTTTAATGCAGTACAGTACAGTATTGTACTCAGGCATTTTTGTATAGTAAAAAGTAATTACTATTGAACCTCAGAATATTAGAGGTTGATCCAGGGAGGGTGTCCAGGATCCCCCTCCATCAGAAAATTCCTATCTTCTATATATTCTTGGTAAAATAGTCGTTTCGGTCAACCAGCGAATTTTAGGATTTTAAGCTTTGGAATCAGTAGTTTAGACAATTCAACGACACTTTTCTTCTACAGTATAGCATTTCTATCAGAAATTTATATTTTTATAGTATTTTAATCGATAAAATTACCAACAATGTCACTTGTTTAAAGTGGGCAGGTCTTTGAAGTAGAGGGAAAATGTGGTGTAAAATACAAAAAAAAAGAAGCACTAAACAAACTTTTGAAAACCTCACCCAACGTTTCCTAACCTTTAAATATCCTTAAACTATAAAAGGTTCTCCTTATTCGTGTTTTCAGTGTTTAGTAGGTGATGGTGTTATTTTAGGTTTTTAGTGTATGTTGGTCTTGTTTTTGGTGTTCAGATAAGGAGGGATCCATAAGCTCAAAAGTGATTCTTAACATTTTTACAAGTAAGGATATGTTAGGTAAGGTTTGCAAAGGTTTATTTGTTGTTATTTTTAGTATTTTACCCCACATTTTCCCTCTACTTCAAAGCCCTGCCCTCTTTGAACAACTACTGTAATACAATATTGTGGGTAATTTTATCGGTTAAAATACTAAAAAAAAATAAAAATTTCCGACGGAAATGCTATAGAAGACGTATTTTAGAATTATTTAAACTACTGATTTCAAAACTTAAAATCTTAAAATTTGCTGGATGACCATAACGATAATAATACCCTTTTCTTTAATGCAGTATTTCACTCAGTCATTTTTGCATAGTAAAAAGTAATTACTATTGCCCTCAGAATATCTCCTATGTCAAGTGCACAAGGCCTCCAAATGGCCATGATATTGGTTAGATGTTTCCCCACCCACAACTTCTTGGGTCCTCCCCTTCTGATATTCCTGGATCTGCCCCTAAAAATACAACTACCCTGTACTCATTCAATTATAACTACGCACAGTACTGTATATTGATGGGTTTAGACAGTGTATCGATAATGTGAATATCAAAGACGGCACATGTACTGTACAGTACAGTACAGTACAGTACCATTACTATATGCTGGAGAAGGTCAAATTTTACAATTTATTTGGTATATGTGTTTAAGTTTTATCTTTTTATTGATATGCTGGATACAACCAATAATACAATACAGTACTGTACGTGTATTAGTATTAAGTATATTACCTTGCGTCTGAGCTTGTCGAAGGCCTCATTGAGGTTGAACATGCGGCGTCTCTCTCTGACGTTTGCTGCACGTCGCTGGGCTATGGTGGGCACCCGTCGTCTCACCTTCTTCCCTCCACTCCCACCACCCCCACTACCATACCTGTCATACACTCCTATGGTTATTTATATTCAGCAAATTGTATACAGTACAGTTGTTAATACTGTCCAATATGGATAATAAGAAAGTCAAACTATAGTACAGTATAAGGTCCAGTGGAATGTACTGGCGAAGTAGATATACAGGCAGTCCTCGACTTACGACTGGGTTAGGGACCAAAATCCAGGTCGTAAGTCGAATTGGTCGCAAGTCAAAAATGAAAAAATAATACAGTACATAGAAAATCTAAAATGAAATACAGTACAGTAAAAGTAATCAATAATGAAAAATGAATAAAGTGTTACTGTGCACTTACCTTTAATGTAGTCAGCTGAATGCACATGGGGACCCAATAAATTTTAATTAAACATGGAGACTACATTAATTGGATGAAGCAGACAGACTATTTTGGTCACTTTTCTTCAGACAGACTAACATACTTGCTTGTTGAAGGTATTGGATCATCTTTAGGGAGTGAAGAGGCAGCACTGGTGGGGAGTGATGAGACAGCAGTGGGGGACTTCTTAAAATATATGTCCAATTTAGACTGCACAGTTTGCCTTTTCTTTTCATTGTAAATCTCCCTGTAGCAAGCAAGTGCATCTTGGATCATTCTGTCAACTTTTGCAAAACACTCAACATTTTGATCCATTTTGCCAAACATTTGCATCCCCTTATTAATAGTAGCAAATGCCTCTGCCATTTGTTTCTTCTGAGCACCACCAGAACTCTCACATTTACGCTTGCCAGTCAATTTAAAGGGAATTAGAACCGAAAATATTGAAAATATTTTCAGTACACAGCGCGATCACTACCGACAACAACGACGGCCAAACACCAACTGAGCGTGCAATGGCATGGGCGCTGTACACCAGGAGGCGGCCCAGCCCACGCCACGCTCTCGTACGTGACGGAAACGTTTCGGTACTGGAAAATATACGTAATTTGAAAAAATTTTGGTACCACTGAGGCGGTCATACGTCCGGGTGGTCGTAAGTCGAGGAGTACCTGTATTAAGTAAAGGATTGTGTGAAAGTATTATGGCTGACCACATTAGAGTTGTAGTGTCAGTGATGTACAAAAAAATTCTGTGCATGCATCCTATCTTGGGACTGTACTGAAAGCTGATTGACGAAGAAGAAAACACCTTGAAGTTGACTGGCTGAAGCTCGCAAAGTAACCCCAGAGTCAATCACTACCCGACACTTTTTCACTTCAACTTTTCTATAATAATGTAGTTCTAATTCTTTGCATCAAGCAATGAAGCACACAATTTCTGTCATTTCTAATTTACCAGTACACCTCCATTCTGGGTCTGTACAGTACAGTACTTCAAACCCTGAAATAATGTCAGCTCAACAATTCCTCCTGGACATCTCCATCTTTGAGTCCTTTGGTATGACTCTCCACATACTGTATTTTCTAAGGCAACTACAGTATTGTACAGTATTACAGGTACAGTACCTTCTTATTCTCAGCTATCATGTGATTCAACTTCTTACTGAATTATTGTTGAAATATCCATTTCCAGATACCTGTATTGTATAGTACTGTACTATACATGGAACACTTCAATTCTTCTATTTTGTCAGTTTTCTTTGTCTGTATTTTTTATCTAATTCTTATTTTTATCAATTTACTTTTTGTTAATATTAACAATTATTTTTCTCCTTTTAAATTCTCCAACACTCTTTTAGTAACACCTGCATATTTTCTTCTGAATCACCTGACCCTGAGTAGTAATGATATGCAACAACCTGCAGCCTCACCTACCACTTGCATCCCACATCTCTATTAATCATACCCGTTTCCTTTTCCGCCACTCTTGCTTTCTCCTTTTGCTTGGAGGACTATACAAGCTATTTGCCATTCTTTTCTTAGTTACTTCTGTAATGAATAACCTATACACTCTTGTCATTTAATGTACAGTGTTACTATATATACTGTATCTCCCTTCCTTACAATTTTACAGTGATACTATCCACTCCAGGTTCCTTGCTACTCTTAAACATGCTACACCTTGTTACATCTGTGAGGGATGTATGCAATATTTTAACTGCTAACTTTTCTGCTCTCAAAAATAAATGCACCAGATTTCATGAAAACTGTTTGGATGACTGAGGTAATGCCACAAATAAATTAAATTTTGTAAATGTAGGTCAAGGTCAAAGTTCGATGTACAGTGTATCTTAAAAAAGTATATACCAGGGTGGGTCCGACGACTTCAAAAATGCTACATGCAATTACTCCCCTGTAGTGATGTCCCGGGAGGGTTGGTACGAGTGGCTCTGTGGCATATTGATCCTCCTACATTTGGTAACCGAACATCATATTAATTACGTCTAAATAAATACATGTTGCATTACAGGTACTTATGTTAAACTAGATACCAAAGTACTTTAAATGCATGTCCCAATACCTATTATCTGTGATTTCATAATGTTTCACACAGTATGTGGACAGATACTTTTTTGAGATACTGTACCTATAAAATTGAGAATGCTATAACGAACGAAACTCCTGCAACGAACATTATTTAATTTTTTTTTTTCTAATTTATTGTTTTTTTATTACAAATATTAATGATATTCTTTATTTCAGGGGTTTAGATGCATCTTTATGCACTTTTTTACAATTTTTACAATTTTATATTATATTTTTCAGTGTTAAGTGGTTGTATTTGGGGGCCTGGAACGGATTAATCCTATAACGAACGAATGCTATAACAAACAAGGTTCTAGAACCAATTAGATTCGTTATAGCATACCCCACTGTACCACAAAATTGGAGAAATAGTAAGCAAAAATCGCGTTATAGCAAACAAGCGTTCGCGTTATACAAATATCGTTCCTAATTCATAAATCGCGTTAGAGCAAATTCGCGTTATCAAAACACGCGTTATAGCAGAAATCACTGTACGTACTGTAGAAGCGATGGAAAGATACACAATGATTTTGTCATTCTCTAGGAGACTAAGGAAACAGTTTGGAAGATGTTGCTGAAAACTGTTTCGAGCAGATGTCAATCTGTCCCCCATTCACTTCATTTGCAGTCAGGGTAAAATTGTATGCAGATTTGTCACTCATCAGCAACTTACCACAAAGGTTCAATTGTTGTATACTATGCTTGCAATTAATATCATATGACAAGCAACTGTATTAAACAATATGACAGTAATTTCCAAGAAATTTGGATAGAGCTTATAATAATACAGTACAACAAAACATATGCAGCAATTTTCTTATTATTGCGACCTGTTAAAGGCAACGTCACATGGCCAATTGTATCTGCAATTTTCGCTTTCGGCTAGCACTAGCAGCAGTGAATTTTAATAAGTGTATTCACACAACGAAAGTACTTTTGCAGCTAGAATCGCTCCGCAGTCACACCCCAAAAAATAACAAGACGGATGGATGCCTTTGAAGACTTTGACAATAAACTGTTAGCTCTTACAACTGTTGCTTTGTACTGTATTGTGTTAAGTACAGTACAGTCAGTTCTGCTATAACGCAATAGTTGTGTTCTTGTAAAACATCGTGTTATAGAAATTCGCGTAATAGAAATAACAGAGCTTATGGAGAAAATAGGGTTAGGTGCAGATTACTACTCGAAATCGAAAAAAATTTAGTAGTTAGCCTAACACAAAGGATAGCACAGTCTAAATATATGTTACATTCATATCTAATAATGAAATCATACAGTAAATGTAACACTTTACCTTGAAAAAATATGAATATAACTTGATGGGGGAGAAGGGTGATTTTGAGGTTGATAACATCGAGCTTCTCTTCAAGGGTTATAGCCTTTCTTTTACGATCATCACCGGGAATGCGATCACGAGAACGCTTCTTGGAGATATTCTTCTTTACCATATTCACAGTTAATACCACCAAATTGGAGAAATAGTGAGCAAAAATCGCGTTACAGCAAACAAGCGTTCGCGTTATACAAATATCGTTCCTCTATTCATAAATCGCGTTAGAGCCAATTCGCGTCGTCAAAACACGTGTTATAGCAGAACTCACTGTACCTGTATAAATGTGAGACGAAACGCTAGTGGACTAGTTCCTGGCTGGCGAGGAGGAAGAAACCTTGTGGTCCTGGAGGAAGAAACCTCGTGGTCCTGAACTACAAAAAACTGAACTAACAGGATTATGTCTAACACTATTTTTTTTTCTTACCGTGTACAGTACACAATTTAAAAGATTCATACAATTGTTTTGTATTTTCATCAAGTAAATAAAAAGATAATACAGTGTTCCCTCGGTTAACGGGTTCGATTATCGAAATTTCGGTTTAACGAATTGCCTCCCATAAGGATCTTCAATTCGGTTAACGAACAAAAACCGATTAAGAAATCGCCTACGAAAAATATGTTTTGTTGTGAGCATCAGCTGATTAGCTCGATGGGCTAGTCTGCCAATTCAATGTCTGTTCTATGTTTGCATTACGTTTCCATTGGAGTAAATATCAAGAAAGTTGTGCTCTTTAATATTTTGCATTTTTTTATAATAAAATTATTAGTCATTTTAAAATTTAGTTAACATATTTATTACATACAGTAAACAAAGAGAGAAAAGTTGAACAGGATCTTTCAATGTGTATGTAATATATATGTGCGTGTATGTATGTGAATGTATGTGTGTGTGTGTGTTGTGTATATATTGTCCATTAGGTACAAAATGCATCCCAAATTGGATCATTTAAAAGCAATATTTGAGGTCAATCTAATATCCTCTTTTTTCCGTGTGCGTAACAAAGGACCAGGCCTAAATAAACACATTATAAACACATTGTCTTTATTCAGCAAAAATACAATTATAAGTTTACAAATTACAAACTAAATAACTCTAGAACACAATACATTCTTTGTTGTGTCCTTCATCATAACGCTGGCGTTGGTAACCTTGCGATGAGCTGCAACAACCTGTAAAGTACTGTTCAGTTCCTCATTTGCGTTATAGACTCATTACAACGCTCTGGCACTCAGTGCCCTCATTCACCACCTTCATATTTATCGCACGATCTCTCATTGTGATAAACACTTCATCGTCTTTCCATGTTTGGGATCATATAAGAACAGTTATTTTCTTTCTTTTGCCATCTAATTGTAGGTATCAAAAATATCTAATGTACGCT